TATACATACATACATACATACATACATACATACATTCATACATACATACATACATACATACATGCATGCATACATATATAGAACATACATACATACATACATACATACATACATGCTTACATACTTACATACTTACATACTTGCATACATACATACATACACACATATACAATCATGTATACATACATACGTACATTCATATATACATATATACATATATACATACATGGATATGGTGTTTTATCGCGCTTCCACACCGTCCTTATGGAAATGATGGGTGAAGTAGCATATACGAATTTTTAATTGTGCCGTATATTAACCTAATTTCGCATGTTGCTGATATTTGGCTGTCCCTCCGTGTGCAGTCGACTAGTATGGTGGAACGATACAGATGCGATCGGATACACGATACCTTACAATCTGATAATGTGCCACGCCACATGTCGAGAGCCCAGTGGAGCGGTGTCGCAACCTTGCATCTACTGTCACTTGGACACAGACGAGCCAGTCGGTTCCGATGACGAGCAGACTGGCGGTGATTCTCTCACAGCCGTATCTGAATTGCGCTTTGCACCGGAGGATGATTCACAGCGTAAGTTCTCCTCCACTGTAATGACATGCGTGTACTCGACTTTATTCGTGACCGCATTTTTTTCTTACTGTGTCCGGCTTTTGGAAATGCATTTCGTTCACTATAAACATTAGTGATCACATCGCACAGCAAGCGCTCAGAGATGTTTCCTTACGTTCACCCTCATTGGCTATCTACAGTGGATGCCATTTTCCGAGCAATGTCTGACTGCCAAGCGCTGCACCCTGATGAGGACTTTGAGCCTGACAGCATGGCCGACCAGTTTTTTACCGCTGATAACTTGCCAGGTACCCTCAACGACAATGTATGTACATTTCTAAATCACAGTACTGTCCAAACTGCGCATTGCTATTGATATAGGCTTATAAAATCCTGTTACGGATAGAGTTGCAAAGTCAGAGTATTTACCCGTCTGTTCACTGTTAACTTATAAGGGGGGTTGACCTGGCTCGAGTATGCATTGACGACAGGCTAATTTCCACATACGTCTGCGTATAGATTGGTGTCAATCTTTAATGGAAATCTGAACGCAATATAATTTTTCACTTCTGTATGCTTGGGAGATGTGCTGTGATGCCGTTCAATTCCCATGAGTGACGAGATACGAGTATACTTCAAAGCCTTCGGTTTGTGATCTTGTGTTGCGGTTTCGCGAGTGTTATGCTAAAACTCAAACCCTAAATCCTATATGGCTAACGTATACATCAGCTTATTAGTCGAAGAAGCCGCGATGTCCTCACTGCCAAGCTCGTTTATTTTTTTATGAGCATACTACTATTGAAGTCTTCGAGAACTGCTATTCTTAAACATTGGTCAGCATAGTGACCTTCGAGGTCATTGTATCAATATCTGATCGTCGCCTCCGGGTTGTATTTGTTCTCCTATACGCATAGGCGATGGAACAATTAAGCCGATATGATGATATGCTAGATGACACTTCCGCAGAAAAAAATATCGACGAGGCCGAACAATAGGGCCACAGCTGCAAACACTCAACATCCGAATAAAGGTGGAATAAATTAAATATCAAACTCAATCAAGTGACACAAACCGCCATATCGCTACTTTCTACTCTGAAGATTATCCTTCAACTTATTTTAGAATCAGGGCGAACGTGATGGGTATGAAATCTTACCCAGAATTGATTCTCTCAAAAATGATGTATATTGTGTAACAAGGATAAACCCTTATTGACAATGGAAAAATTGCGGCGAACCATGCGCTCAGAATGTACTGTAAAACTGAGGGTGTATTCTAGTGGCCATCCCATTACTTGTTGCCATTTTGACTCGCGTGCTCGTGAGATTTTTGGACAACTGGCATGTTGTTGAACCATTATCCACATAATTGTCATATGTTTGATTATTCACTCTTCCTACAAAGCCCTGACCTGATTCATAAACTCGCACAGAACACAACAATAATGCCTTGTCTCAAAGCATACGGCATTGACGAAAATGGTTAAAAGTGTAGCCGCTCCTACTTGACGGAGGATGTACATTCACCAGCACTTAACTAACGATCATCAATAAATGCGATGAAGTATGCGCGATCAGAATATGTAATTTAGGGTCGAAAAAAGGATGTATAAAGTCGATGAATATATCAATATTCAACAAAGATGACTCTATGGCACTAGGAAAATTACGAAAGCAATGCCAGATATGGTATACATGCATCATTTATTAAAGCGCATACGCCTAGGCCCAACTCCTTCATGGACATAAATGTGATGTGAACGCACTAGTACGCAACAGGTACTTCATATTGCATGCAAGACCTGGACATCTCAGGGTGTGTGCCGGTCATTTGCGACAAACATCGTTGTGGCTGGGACACCACCCAGGGTGCAGCCACAGCGCAAGGATGCACTCAGCAAGTATTGCGAATAAGAACGTCATAGATACAATCCCCTATTCCTTATAGCCAATCGGTTTAAAGCAATGCGTGGGAGAATACTATGGCCATTTTGAGACAAGATCTTCGTTCACTGATCACGGTTCAATACTGGTTTCTCCCTCCGCTGCGACCATGACTTGCTCCATAAAGCTTCGCAATATCGATTTCGACAGCAAATAAATAAATGAATATACAGCACACTGTGAGTATTCAGCCCATAATATGATAAATGCGATCGAATGGGGCACCCACTGAACGTGAGGTAAATCCATAAATAAAGCAAGGTTCAAGCTCGAAGTTCGACTATCGAAACGAGAGAATTGTATATTGTGGAGGGAGTCCATGAATCCGAAGGATGTCTTAAGGTAACTGAATGACCTAAAAAAAAATGTTCGACTAAATTACTGTAGAGATGTCATACCTTTCAGCGTTGTGCACGTGTGTACCAGCTAAGATGATACGTGTCCCTGGCAATTCCGAATTGAATCTCGAGACAAAGCGAGCCTCTTCGTAAGTTGCACCCCCGACCATCATCACAATTATGTCCTGGGGTCTAAGAGAATGAGAAGAAAAAAGTGAAGGGTTTCAAGTGCTTTGTATAAGATATTTTGTGCATAAGTTTCAAGCCATTCCTAACAATTTTGCACGTTGACTCTACAAACATCGAAACATACTTGTCTCTCAGCATTGGTCCCAGGAATGGAAAATCACTATCTTTCAACTTTCCTTTCACTAACAGATCGAGCGTCTCTATTAGCAATGGCTCGTGTTGTGTGTATACATTTTGAACACCCTAGAATGAGTGCAGAAAAGAATTGTTAAATGGTGACACAAGAAAGGACAGGATCAGGAAGTGTAATCTGCAATCGCCCAAAAAGGAAGTTAGAAGCTATCACAAGTATCGACACGAACAAATAAAGTGAGACACACTCGTACCTTAAGACCTTTCAGCGTCTTTTTAGTGAACGCGAAGAAACTTTTATTTCCAAATAAATCACTCTGACGGGCGTCGTATCCTCCGTATGTAAGTATATGTCTCACCTGGTGAATGCAAAAACCCAACCGATTAGAAAATTGTGCAACGCATACTGAATCACAAAATGGAACGGTTCGGCGGCACTGCTTACATGAGAAAGATATATCGATATTAAATCATGCGTGCTAGCTGCCTCTCTACAAGGCGACCTCTCAGGTGTATTGATTTGTAGATTTCTTACCAATGAAATGTAGTGAGAGTCTAGATGCCTGTGCTTCAGTTGCTCTACCAGGGACGTCATATAATTTGTATTGCTTTTGTCGAACCTGTAGAATAACAGGGTGTAGATTTAAAATCACACACAAAAATTTACTGAAATATACAAATATTCAATATTAATTTAGGTCGCTTTTCAACCCCTGACAAACTACGTCTGCATTGGATACATACATGTATCTTGCAGTAAAATCTCAGAAATTTGATTTTATATGTCGATTATAGTCAAATCCACCACTAATAGGTATCGGCAAAAATCAGCTACACAGTATCACTTGTAATAAAGGGGGGATATAACATACCGCAGTGCATACAAAAGTATCAGCCTGGCACGATCCATGTCTGTCACCTTATCCGCATCGATCAATTGACGAACACGTGTGAGAATCGAGCTGTGGTCACCCTGACAGGCGATATCCTGTTCCGTCTCTGATACCTCCAGCAAGCGATGTGCATCCTGAGTAGTGTTGCGAAGTGGATATCGTGAATACGATGCACTCGACAGGGATTGCAACAGCAAAATCAACAAGAAGAGAGCTGTATGAAGTAGGGCGTGCCCCAAAGCATCACATATGCACTACTGAACAGATCTTTTCGATCAATACACGATTACATTGCCAGAGCTTCGCAGACTTCGATCACACACCATTAAACGAGAAAGCTCGCCCACTACAGTGACGTGTTTCGACACCGCACTGGACATTTGCCTGAATTGAGGATAAGTGTCGATGAAGGAGCGCATATCCGCAATTGTGTCAATCTTTTTGTTGCTCTTCGTTTTTTCTTGAAAGGAATCCACCTGCAAACGCATACAAGAGTTTAAGAGATCAGGGTGACGAAATTCAATGTTTGAATAATATCTAGTCGCAGAAGTGGCTTAGAAACGAACACACTTACCAGTTTTTTAATGCTCATTCCGATATCTCCGAAATTCTCAAACATGTTCTTGTGATAGAATTCGTCTGTTTCCGATGACAAGACCATGTCCTGATGATGAAGCGGGAAGCGAGTATATCAAGATAGGCAGACATCCTGTTCAATATTTATGTGGACACTCGAAATTCTAAAATCGCGTAAGAAATTCAAAGGTCGAAAAGTGAGCGCAGCAGCGCACCAAATTTCGTTCTGGTGTAATGGAGATTACATTGGCAGTATGATAGAGAGCCACCAACAGACAGTCTAGAATCATTGAGAGCAGTGAAGACAAAAACTAGCAGAACGAGTAAACTGAACTTGAACATCATCTGAAAAGGGAGACAGTTCTCGCGATTCTACATCAGTTTTACCTACAGACTCTCCACCTAAAAAAATTAATTGCGTAAATACTAAGAATTAGGTCAAAACCAATTCACAGTGTAATAAAAAAGCGAACGTACCTGCATGTCTTTCTTGATTCCTGGGGCACCAGCCAGTGATACTCGCTGATTCGTGATGCCCAGTCTTTCATGTACCATTGCCTGGTATGTCCACTGCAAAGAAAATGAGCAACATCGACGTGAACGGATGCCGATACCATGCATTGGGCATACTGCCAGAAATAAGCATCGAGTATATGCTACATGGGACTTTTGAGTGAGGTTGCTACGGTACGGTACCGATTTATATTTGCACGGAGTACCGCTTACACTCGCCAAAATCAGCTCTCAGTGATCATTAGCTTCTAGAAAAAAGTGTTCCCTAATTCATTCTTTTGTCCAGATTGTGTAATAGTAGGACAAATTGCATAGGATGAAGATGATTCGGGATGTAACATACTCATTCACGTGACGGTGCGATACTACCTGATTCAAAAGTGGCGTCACACAGTCGTCTCTTCGATCCAATATAATCATAAGCGGGGGCGAATCGGTGCGGCGGAAGTCAAATAACGATGATTCGTTCTGCATCACACTTGACATCTCCGTAGCAAGTTTCTTGCACATGTTTGAGTTTGATTGATATCTGCCTTCCACCAGATGGACAAATAGACAACCAATTAACGATAAAGACGGGATTAACCTCTCGCTTGGCATCCACAAACATGCTTGCGATGTATAAAACGTAAGCAGGTTGAATATCCAATATACAACTGTTTTACCGGATCAGAGGTCGCTTCTTCAGCGATAACAGTAAGGACGTAAACCCTTGCACACTCCGCCTCAGTGCCGTATCATCCCATTTGTCCATCGAAGAAATAGACGGAAATCTCACATTCAAAGAAATCAGATCGTTGTTGATGGCATAGTAGTCGCCGAACATCTCCTGCACCTCTCGCACCTGAATAGCGAGTTGTCGCAACGATACTGCATTAGTCATCAATAGAGTGACGGCCAATGAATCGACTGTATGGCCTCATTATGCCAGAGCCTGAGCTACAATTGTTGCATCATACATCAACAGAAAAAAAGGAGAAATCCAGTGCTTATTGAGACGACTCCTCCCTCAGAGATGAAGAATTTGACTTGTGTGACATAGCATCATCTAAAAAATTCTTGTCATCTAACAAATTCTCGTTGAAGGCAGTATGCGAGTAATTCTATCTTAAAATTGGTTGAACGTGAATTATTGACTTGTAATATATCATATGCCGGTATCTCATCATGTGGTTGTAAACGAATGTCTCATGACTTACCACTTCGTGCTCATCAGCTTCGGCCAACCGCTCTAAATCACCAGATGAAAGCGTGTTTGAGAAGAAAATGTAGTACTGACCATATTTCGGCTTTCTGAGCTCTCGGCAAAGTATAGTCACATTCTCTGGTGTCGGCCTCAGAAAGCATATGGCCTACACACGGGTTTGCGTAGGATTAGAGAGGAACATGAAGATACACCACGGAAGTAAGAGCGATGTGCTGCGTTCACTGCTATGCTGAGATGCAACTACTGAGAGACAAGCATATATCGGCCAAAGGAACAATAGATCTTCAACACTGAATTCCCGAAAGCTTCGTCGAGGGGAATATGCTCGTGATAAGCAAAGTACCATGAAGGTACACCGTGATATCGATCAAGAATAGCTGAATCGATATTTGTCAGGGTGTGAAAGACAGAAAGCATTTTAACGAGGACGGCAAAACTTAGAAACAACATACCTTAAGGTGGGTCATAGTCTCTCTATTCGGAGTTTCCAAGCGATCAACCAGATACACTTCTTTCTGCAAAATTTCCGACTGAGTATAGACTATACTGACCATACCAGTGGTTTCCTTGTCTAGTAGTAATACCTGAATTAGTAGATCAAACATGGTTGAATTTTCTAATAAAAATTACAGGAAGCGGAACAAGCTGCTCTCCTTCGACGCCACAGATAGAATCCAAAGTTGATACATTTGTGCTACACAATTATCGACTTGAACTTTTCGCCGAGATCGATGTAGCAAAGGCATTCCCGTGCTATTGGATACAGCTCCAACGTATAAATTTAGCCTCACAAGCATATTTCAGAAGAGAAATAATTTCGAAAGCATTAGACTACAAAGATGAAAGACAAAGACGAATATACAACAAAAATAGTATACACGATAAAAGTTTACTAAAGATATACATACTACACTATAAATAATTGTAAATCTCGTACAGTGGTATATATATATATATATATGAATACATAACTACATGCATACACGCATACATACGTACATACATAGATACACACAAACACACACACACACATATATATATACACATACACACACACACACACATATATATATATATANATATACTAATAAATAAATA